CGAGACAATGGCAGAAATCAAAAGGCAAATTCTAGTTTTTAACACATGCTCACAGGACTGAGCTAATTCTCTAGGGGCATATAGCATAAAGGGGACGAAACGGCTGGACCGGCATTTAATGCGAGCAGGAACAAATCAGCACTGCTGAACTGCACCGTTAACACAGCGACTGCGCTTTTGTGACATTTGCCTTCACTCTTGAGAGATGGATCAAGTCACTCATCAACAGCTCTGGGTCACCTTTCTCCATGTAACAAATACAGGATGTACTTCACAGAGCAAAAATCCCTGAATGTTCTTTTTGCTCAAGCGTGGCTCCTGTATGTAGGAAACTATCACAAGTTTTACCACTTAAAAACTGACCATTCATGTCAGTTGTAAACACTTTCTGCATCCTAACTTCTAAAACAGATCTTATGTTAAGATGGAGACAATTAAAGATCATTAGATTCTTTCATGACACCCAGTGCAACAAACGGCTTTTGCTTAAGAACAAATGTAAATATCCAATCCTTTCTAAATATCATTAAGCACCCAGAGGGTTATCACAAGCTCAGAGTAGTGGAATTGCTCCAGTCTGTTTAGTCACATTGCCTTTGGAAGTGTCACACTGCAGATTTAAATGAGAAGGCAAGGAAGTCTGTGTGCCATGTGTCTACTATTTTTATGCATGGCAGAAAAGGACAGAAGGTCAACTTGCTCTGCAGAGAGTAATTTGACTTCTGAGAGGATGGAGAAACTGTCTTAGTGCCTCTTGCCCAGGAGATGGCAATCCTTCTTCACAAGCTTTATATGGGGAATTTGAGCAAATTAAATGAAGAACAAAGGAACAGGTGTTTGATTAAAACAGAGGGCTGTATTGTAGTATTTGTTTGCAGTCTCCTCCAGTTGCAGGATCAGAAGCAAAGAATGTGAGGAATTTTTTTCAGGGAGATCTGAAAACACCAATAGGCAACTTTTAACTGCTTTTGTTCCAGTGCCAGCAAGTTCAGGTCTCCTCCCTTTGATTACCATGTTTTTCAGACACCATAATCAGAACAGATCTACCCACCGCCTTCTTGCAAGACTGGATGGGAGATGGTTGGTTGGTTTGTTTTGAACCAGGTGTTCTGGCTCCTAAAGGGACAGCAAAAAGATTAGTCAGGAGCAGTCAAGTTACCAATAAGAGCTCCTGAGATAGCAAAGTAGCAGTTATCACTATCTAAAGGCAAAAGTATTCTGAAATTACATTTGTTGACAAGGGTGGCTCCCAGCTACAATCCTGGGATGGACATCTGAGAGTACAAAAGTTTCGATGAGCATGAGCTCAAAACAAACCAACGTCAACTCCTACCACAGCAATTTGAGCCTTCTGACTTCTCAACTAGCAAATCTCAGCTCTTGCTCACGGAAGTCGATGCCAAGGTTTGGTCAAACTGCCAAGCTGGCAGTTACAAAATGAGGTGAAGGGCGTGTAAATAGGGCATGCAGCAAATGGGGCTCCCTGACACAGTACATGCAACCTCTGCCATCAATCTCCTTAGATATGTGGCTCAAAATGAGGGAAGGATTAAGAGAGAGTTGCATTTACCTTCTTAAAAACACACACAGAGAAGTAGTAGAAAGACCCAGCTACAAGGCACAAACAGCAATCAACTTTGCAGCTTGCCAAATTGAATGGGATGAATTTCCTGTAAATGAGTGCTCTGTGATGCACCACCCAACTAAAAAAAAATAAGACAATGTTTATACTTAGAGGCACTCCACACTGCAGCACGGTAGTTAAGGCTGACCACTGTTCGAAACAGCTCTAAAAATCTTTATCATTCAAAGAGAACAACTTGAAAACTGATACGCTATTGATGTCCTGGGATAAATTGAGCAAAAGCACTTGGGGCCTCTATGAAGGATCTCACAGTAATGCTCCTGAAAATGATCTTGGTTCACATTTTTCAGTATTTTAAAGTTTTGCACAATGCTGGAAATACACAGATCTATACAAGGATGAGGGTAATGCCCCCAGGCAGCCTTTGAGGACATCTGGTACTCTCAAGAACAAACTCTGAAACATTTCAAAACCATTGGTGTTCATGGAGAAACACTATCGAACTGTGAAAAGCAAGTTGACAGCAGCAGTTTTACTGACAGCATTCTTTAACTTTCCCTAAGTTTTGCTACAGAATATAAGCATAGATAAGCAGGTTCCAGATACTGGGGAAGGGAGGGAAGGAGAGACTATCCTTTTTCATCTTTAAGTTAACTGAAAACACTGCCAGCAATTTCTGACTTCCCCATCTTTTGTTTCCATCCAAGAGTCTCTTAGAATTGGCCTTCCACATTATGCCCTCCACGTGAAGCAGTATTTATTGGTTCCTGCAGGCTAACATTTTCACCAGCATGCCTCCTCTTGAAATCTTCTATTCCCTAGGCTTCCAAAATCTGCCACGTCTCTAACTACTCTTATACATTTAATTTGAAAAGTCTTCCTTGCTCCTCTTTTGTAATTTCTTAGCTTGCATTAACTACAGGTTCTGTCCTTAGCTCTCTCCTCCCCGATCTCTGTGAGTAATCTCATCCAAACCCACAAATTCCGGTATCATTCCCTGGGATGACTCTCTGATATTATTCTTCTCCAGATTCTTCTGATTTCCTAATGTTTGACTATAAGCTCAAATGCAGAAAGGCTAGAACGCAATTTAAGTTTTCCTCTAGCTTTTTTCCTACACTCCTCCTCTTCTTACTCACTCATTGACTGCTACCACCTCACCTGTCTCTTCAGATCTGTAATACTCAGCTATAGTCAGCCTGGAATCTCCCTTGGTCTTCAAAATAGATTATGACAGCATCATGTCAAGTCTTTCTGTCTGTCATCCAAAATACTGCTTTCCCATCCATTTGCCTGATTAAAACTCTTGTTCAGATTCTTATGTTGTGTACTGCAATATCCTTTGCCTCCTACCATTACAGGCTTGTTCAAATAACAAATGGTACTTTTAGGTGATACAGAGCATGGCACAACAGGGTCCTGGTCCACAATCAGCATTCCCTAATATGAAGGTAATAAATCATTAATTGTAATAATCTCTGATCCTCATTTCCTTGAAACTGCTTACTTAAAAAGCATCAGTGTATCAATTTACAGGCAAAGCATCAACTAAGTGCATCTGAAAAAACATGTAAAAGATGCCAAAAAAATACAGTTAATACAATGGCATTTACAGAATTCCTTTTTCAGCTTAAAGAAACACTGTTGTAAACGTGAGAACCAAATGCACAATATATGAATAAAACAAATACCTGATAGTCTGAGGTCATAATAAGTCCACCTGAGGTAGTGGTAGGAGGAACAACTCTCACTTTTTTCAGTGGGGGTCCCTGTGTGTGACTGTTGTCTTGGTTCCCTGGATGACCAGTTCCATTAGTATGGTTATTGCCCTGCTGCTGCTGCTGGTTCTTCTCAATTGTTTAAACACAAAGAAAAATTTCAACTCAAAAGCAGTACATGAAATAACATGAAAACAGGAAATAGTGTGAAAGCCAGTGAAGCATGATGATACTGTTCTTCCAGTACTTACTTTGTCTCCTTTATCATCTGGTTCTTCTTCTGTTAAAAATTCTCGTTTTGGGTAAGGGATTTGACAACCTGCAAAAACACTGCCCCCGAAAAAAGTCTATTTATCACTGTATTAGAACAGAAGGGTTAGACCTGTAAGATTCATACTTCACCCATGCTAGTTTCAAGTTGGTGAGCCACAGCCCAATACCTGTAACTAATGGAGAAGTTTTCCCTGTCTTACTTTCATCAAGTTCTAAATTTAGTAAAAGTATTCACATGTATTTTTAATCTTCAGTTGCCTCTTATACACTCATTTAAACTCCTAATAGTTTTCACAGTTTCTGGTAACTGGTGACTGGAAAGGCACATGACCTGTTAGATATCTGCAAGGGCACAAAGAGCTATCTTAATGCAGCTATTATCATAATTCACAATCTCAGGACTAACTAAAAATACTCCTGGAAACTCCACTGACTATTAATAAAACCACCTGGAACAAAGTTTAAAAATAACTAGAATTTTAATCTGTCAATTCTTATCTCATGGTCCACATGAATTTGCTACTGCTAGTGCAAACTAATATTTACCTGCCCTTAATCAGTAGAATGTATTTCTAGTAAGTCCCTGTACGCCTGTTACCATTACTCAATCCGTATTCACATTAAAATGTCAACCTAAAGTTGAGAAAAAAGCCAAACACTTTCCTAAAAGCAGTTTCTGCACAAGCAAATCATTCACATGACAATGTTAAATCACAGAGACAGGTCAGGAGCTGTTATAAATAATTCAGTAAATTTTAGTGCAATAATGTCATTTTTTATTAATTGCGTATAAATATACATACCACATTTTATAAACTCTTCCCTAGATAATGGTAGAGAATCATATACACAATGTGCTAATAGTTCTCCCAAGAAGATGTGCAATGACGCTTTCTGGCTAGTCTTTGGGGTGGGGGTAGGGGGTGGGTTCATTTTTAACAAATTAATTGTCTCTAAATTTTCTTCCTTTTGTAAATCTCCCTGCACAAACAAAAAAGGGGAGTGTCTACAGAAAATGGATTTAAATTGCTAAGGATGACAGTACCAGGACACAGATTTTACTTCCCCCACCCACTGAATTTACAACAAAAGCTACGACAGAAAAATGTAAACTAATTAGAGAGTGTCATCTGGCATTCTGGAGCAGAGAAGTGGACCTGTGGGCACTTAGCAGTTGTCTACAAAGATCTGTAGCATGCCTAATCAACCTGTCAGTGAATAACAAGATTAGTGCTGCGACTAATAGGATCAAAGTTCCATAAAGCAAGAGATTAATAAGAATGCTACTTAATTTTAAAAACCACAAAAGCCATTTTAGTGGTTATAGCTTTCTTTGGTTGCTAGTAAGTATTTAGCTCAATATTCACAAACATATTTATAGCAGAAAGCAAGCACAGATTTCTGAAGCATCTCTGGATGTACTGATAGGTTAATAAACTGACCACTTACTCGGATGTGGGAAGTGGATCTTCTAAGAAATAGGGATCCTGCATAGCCTGTTCTGAGGTAATTCTCTTTATTGGATCCATAGTGAGCAATTTCTGAAGCTGCACAAAATAAAAGTTAAGAAACTCTGCATTACCAAAACTGTTTACAGAAACTTCACTGTCTTAATCCTGAAAGACAAGCTGATACAAACGTGTCTGAACTCAAAACCTTAACTATAAATGGCCTAATCCCACTCTTCTCTCTTGTTAAAATAGCAACTCCATTTCCCATCGAAGAACACCTATTTTTACTTGCAAAGCCCAGGACGCTCAGTTAGTTCCAGTCACAAATGTTGTAATAAAAACGCTCAAAGAGTTTCCACAACATGCCAGCAGCTTTAATGGCTTGTTCCCACAAGAAGATGTAACACGCACATATTTAGCCTAGTTTCTTCAATTATACTGCACTTTAACAGGAAGCATCATCATATCGTTTTAAATTCAAATAATTCTTAGCAATTAATAAGCAAAAGTGATTCCATGTCCATTATTGCTCACATTTTAGTATTGTCATATTAGTACATCTCCATTGTCATCCACAGTACTTTAAAGATGTTATATGAAGTCACTCCTCAGAAAATCTTTACGCTGTAAAAGGAAGTGGTAACCAACACATTCAAAAAACCCACCTTGCCAGGTAACTTTTATCACTCACTCCAGTATGTGCTTCTTTATGCTGACAAATATGGGCGCTCAGGCACGTCTGTGTGCTACATGCTGCTCAAAAAAGCAGTTGTGCAAAATCCCGAATTTCAGTTGATTTTTCGCACGACATGCTGCAAAATACTCTCAAGCTGCCTAATAAGCCACCTCCTCCATGAGTGCATCAAGTCTGAGCTCTGGTGCTGTTTCACTACCAGTGTAAGACCTCAGCCTCTATCCTTGTAACAACTGATGAATCAAGTACCAACTACATGAAAACAATCTCTCCAAAATGCCTGTGTTGGTTAAAGACAACGAAGATGATCACAAAGCAGGAATACGCAGAAAACAAGGCAAAATATAGTATTTTACAAAATAGTTGAACTCTGTTCAACCAAAAATCCAGCAAAACCTTACTCTTTGAGAAAGCACATCTTACTCTCATTGGGAAGTGTTAAGAGAGGGCTAAGAAGCACACTAGGTATTTGCTCAATGCGTAACTTAAAACACAGCATACAAGATGTTTCAGTAACAGGCAACAGAATAAAAATCCTAAGGTAATACACACAGATGAAAATTTAAGAAAATAAAACTAACCTAACCAAAGTAAGGTGAAAAATTTGTACAAAAAGTGTTACAAACATTGCTACTTAGAGAGGTATGCTATGACAAATGCTTAGGATACGTAGCCAGAAACTCATCTTAAGTAACTCCAAGTACCAGCAACAGTCTAAATTCAACACAACATTAAGGACTGAAAGGTAATTCTAAAAAAAAAAACAAAACACCAAAAAACCCAAACCCAACTGTTTTTACTGTTTGTACTGTTTTTACACTTCACTGTCATATTGCACCTATGTAAACATTTCAGAAGCTGGCTGGACTTTATATACATTTGTCACTGTTTTTGTCACTGCAGTTTTTTTGTTTGTTTTGTTTTTATTTTTCAATTAGAAAACATCATGCTGTCTCCATAGGTCTGAAGATTTTTTTCCATTTTATGAATAGCAGACCACAGTAATTTTATTTAACTCTAGCACTGAAATAGCAGTGAGGCATTCTGGAAGTGTTTTTTATTTAAAAGGTCTGCTGTATGTGTATGTATTTCTCCCCATCCACCCAGCAGTTATTTTGTGGAATATGGCTATGCTAGACAAGCAATATCCATGGACAGAAGGAGCTTCAGATACTGCACAGAAAAGGGAAAGCAGCGAGTCTTCATGTTTCACCATGGAATACAGCATCCAAAGTAAAACTACACCCTGATGTATTGTCAAAGTCAATGACCTTCAAAAGATGCTACATTTTTAACCTATTGCTTTTGTTTTTTAAATCACAGATATAATAAAATTATATAAAATAATACTAATTTCACATTTGCTAATCATATTTTCATGGGATTAAATTCACCTTTTTATAAAGATCCAGTGTCATGATCTATGTCTGAACTGGTTGTCTCCTTTCACCAGCTATTAAGTGAACACACACGCCATGATGCAGACCTCCGCGCTGCAGATAGCCAAAGTTAGAAAGTACATTTTTCTCTCCTCAGCCTTCAGTTTTAATGGCAAGTTAAGAACATAATAAATATGTATTACCACCATCAATCCAGTTTTGTTTTTCACATCATCAACACAGACTCACAGTGAGTTATTTCAGCTCTCTGAGCCTGCATGTAGTCTTTGTAGAGTATCAGTTTGAACAGAACAATTCTTGTTTCTCTCAAAAGCTCAAAAAGCAATCCCAGGAGCCAAAAAAGGGGACGGCAAAAAATGAGAAAGAATTGCCAACATGTTGAAAAACATCACAATCAAAAAACATTGCAAAATTCTGGCACCATTTCTGGCAATTACGTTATAAAGCTCTCCATCACATGCTGACAAGATGTGAACAAACTTGGTTGTAATCAGCAACAGAAAACAGAAACCACAAGAAAAGTTTAATGATTGCACAACCATTATCACACAGGGGATCAAAACTCCTCTGTTTTGCATGGTTGTTAGGTACCAGCACAGAACTGAATCTTCCACCTATTATTACAAATATTTTCTATTTTAAAAACTGTTCAATTAAAAGATCACGTGGCTGAATGACATAATAAAAATGCAGTAAACTATATATCAGCAATATCACTGCAGTTGATATGGATCACTGTATCCGAATGAAAGATGAAGCATCACTCAACCAGGAGCAGCACCTGTGTGCCCGTTTTCTTCTAGGGGATAAACAATTAAGTAGGGAAAAAAAAAAAAATCAGGAAAGTGGAAGTGGGAAAAAAAATGTAAGCTGCAAAAGCAGGAAGGAGCCAAAGTTGTCTCATGTTAAGGTATCAGTCCTGCATATGAAAAGGGACCATGTGCATGAATGTCAGTAAAGAAGGAAAAAATCTAGTTAATTCAAGCTGGGAAATCAAAACATTTCATTTTTGGCAATGACAACAAACTCTTGATTTACAAGTCCTGGAATTATTAATTCTGGCATATTTTACAATAGAAGATGTAAACAGCTTATCTGTTCTGATGCAGAGAGTAAAAGGGCTGTGAGACAGCTCGTGGAAGAGTAAGATCTTGGAGTATCTCTGGAAGAACCGGTACCAAGAGTATCACTGAACTTGTTCAGGCTCTGGTGGAGGGGCCTAAGGCATTCATCTGCAGTTCAGCCTGCCCTCCACCTGAGTGCAAACCTGAGGCACCTTCCAATTTTGACAGCCTCTGTACGGAGTTTTAAGAGGTTATTTTGGAAAGACTAAGGCTTTAAAACAGGAACTGATTTTCAGTGAATTGTTCTGACAGACAGCAGTGAGCAGAAAACAGAGAGGATCCTATTAGAGCTAATTAGCCATAAACTTCACAGTACTTCCCTCACAACCTCTATCTATGGGAGGTACAAAAGAACATGGCCATGTCTACACTACTAAATATCCTGCTTTTTAGCTTGTGTGACACTGGCAACATCCGAATTGCATGAAGCACTCTCTCGCGCTACCAGTTTTGTTGGGGGGAACATGGGTGGAGGTCCAAACTGGAACAAGTGGGAGAGGTAGCAGTTGAGCAGCATGTTCAGTCAAGAGTCCATGCTCAAATCCACCTCCTGGTTCTCATTTGGTACTAACAGATATGACCAAGAATGGAGGGCTAGCAGTATCCTGGAAAAGCACCATTCCTTGATTTTGCATTTTAATGTAACCACTGCTTTTTGGTACAAATATAAACATACTGAACAAAAATGCTGAATACATTCAAATAGTTATCACCCTGTTGTGATACCGCAGGGAGAAGAGAAAATAGTGTAGCAAGTGTTTTAAGCTATTCTCATTGTGTCTAGTTTTGTTGTTGGTGAAACATTGTTGAAAACAATTTCTAAACTTGCAAGACTGGGAGAACAGATGAGAAATTTCAGATCTGTTTGGCCAGAGCCCTCACAGCTTCTAAGAGAAACTGGTTCATTCAGAGAAAGTCTTTTTAGGGACCACCAAGGTGTACAGCAAAGCCTGACCACACTTTTCCCTGAGCTTGGTGTTAAGCTAGCAGACTGGAGAGCGGTGAGAAATAGTTGAAGAATCAAGGGAGGGGAAAAGCACTTACATTACTCGAAGATGAAGTCACTGTCCATGTTGTGGACATGGACAACCATATACAGGTTCTTGCATGGAAAATGTTTTTACCTCAGATTGCCTAGGTATGATATGAAAATCTAACGCAACTGATTTTAATAGGCAAAACTGACCAAGATGTCTCAGCTGCTTGCCACTAGTGATGATTAGCTGTTTTCAGATTCCGGTACAGCTACATAAGCTTACCTTTGAGAGCTTTAGACTCCAAATATGTCACAAGTCAAATCTGTAGGTGACAAGCAGCATGTTTGTTCTCAAAGATGAAGTTAGAAAGGTAAGTACTGATGCATGCAGTTGCATAATTTTATGGAACACCTGCCTAGAGTGGCTGATGAGAAATGTCTGCAAATTCACTCAATTTGCTGCACTTGAGTCCAAGGATGAGTTTTTATATCCAAACCCCATCCTATGCAAAATATCATATTCAACAGTTTCTTCATGCTCATTGTTTTTTTTGCTTCTTGAATTACTTAATATAATTTTCAAAAATATCATTTATGCTTTGATAGGAATATGACGTATGATCGACTTTTTATGTCAAATATCTTTTTAAAGTATGTATTGTCACATTACAACATAAGAACATCTAAGTAAATACTAAAAATGCATTCCTGAAGCTCAGTTATAAATAGCTTCATGGTAAAAACTGGACTAATTATGAGCACTTCGTTTTTTCACATGTCAACATAAACTTTTTATGCATTACATACAAATATACAGACTACTCAGCGGCTTCCAGTTGTGCTTGGATACAAAAATCCATCAAAAATTCAAATTGTCTGTCAGAGAGGACTAGCTTCCTTTCTTATGTAAACATCTCTAGTATTTCACCAACAGCTTCCAATGACTTGAACAAAAGCCACATGGTCCTCGGACACCCAGGCCTCTTGACCATCTTCCCTTTTCTCCAATTTATTCCTCTCATCTCTAAGGTCAAAAAGTGTCCTCTTTTCTTCCCTCACTTCCTGCTCCCCCCAATAATATATTCACTTTACAATTCTAGCCAGAAAACATGTAAACTGAGTTGGAAACATCAAGATAAGGAGAAAGTCCATTCAGAGAAACTAGATATACTTAAATTCTTTCTTCTCTCTCTATATATACATATAAAAAGTTTATTTTAGAGACTTGAATGTTCTTTAGAACATGGAAGGAAAGGCCCAATATAGTAATTTCTGAAACAACATAACACAGGCACTTCCAGGACTGAGCAAGTGTATAATTTTAACCGGAGTCTTCATAAAAAAGAAAGTTATATATTCTGGAGAGAAAATCATTGTTTTAAGGGTACTAGGAAGTTTTCATAAGCAAGCTACAAAGGCTTAGTGCACCAGGAAGACACACTAAAATTTTCCAAACTACATGTTCAAGTCTCAATTTTTTTTTTTTTTAAGTCTGCAAGATGTAAGCTTAATAACGAATACGTTAAAAATTAGTCATTTAGGAATTTAAAAAAACCCAGGCTATTAAAAGTGTGCAAAGCAGCAAAATGGCTAAGAGTTGCAGCAACACTGCAAATATAATTACAAACTAAACATGACTCAAAGGCTGAAAACTTCTGACATACTCGATACAGAACCTAATCCAGTGAATGACTCGCAGAATCATTTTATCAATGTGAGAAGATAAAGTGGTTTTACAATTCTCAGATTGCAGAGTATCAGTTATTCCTAACTTTATTTATAAAGCAAGGGATAATATTTATAAAATAAAGTTAGTCACAACATACTTGACACCAGCTCAACTCTCACTCTGAACAACTGTAACTTATACAAGGGGGTTGATTTTTTTAATGCATGCAGAAACTTACCAAGTGGAACGCCTTACTATCGGGTTTAACTTTATGTTTTTCCATATATTTGATAAGGCTGCAGTTGGTATACCTAGAAAAGGAAAAAAAAAAAGTGACATTGTTAATATGCAAATCACCGATACTGCAAAGCTTTCTTAAGAACCACAAAACATGTTACTAAGAACAGTTTAGTCTGCATTGCTAATCCACTAAACAGAGAAAAACGACAACTACAAACACCAGAGATTGCTTAAAAATCATTCAGACACTACAGAACTGCATCTCTTTCCGTCACATGTTTGTAAAAACACATCACATCCACACAAAAAGCACACTTTTAACACACATGCAGACAGCAAACTATCACTTAAAAAGGATTTAAAATGCCTTTTAGCAATTTTACTACTACAGTTTCATTCTGTATGTTGCTAATACCAGCAAACATGGAGATAAATACTAATCCCATCTTAACACTCTCCTGCAATGTACAAGTTGGTACAAGAACATTCATGAATTCACTTTTTTGAAGAGGAGCTCAGAAACAAGGTTCTAAATGGTTACAACAGCATGGCAGATGCAAGAAATATGTTTAACAGCGCAGCCTCAATCCCTCAGCATGGAAACAAGGCAACAGGGGAGGGCCCTAAGTGCAGATATTAGACCCTGGCTATATGACAGCAAAACTGAAAGGTATTCTTTTCTTCAGCCTTCATAAGCTACCCTAGACACCAAACCTGGCAATTATACCCGCTGTTTGCTGGAAACGGTAGAAGGTGACTAGATCCTTTCTGTGCAGCTATTACAGAAAAATCATGTCCAGTACCACAGCTTTGGAAATAGCTGTGACAAACTGGGCTTTGCAATTTTCAGAGCTGTGCAGCATCTTACTGGCCTCACCAGTTTCACACCTGCCACCTTACCACTTACAGTCTGTCCTTGGCTACTCTTCTGATTCACACCACCTCAACAGGCCAAATTCACCATTATGAAACAACTTTGTTTTTCTTTTTTTCCCCAATCTAACTCATAACCTTGTTTGACAACTACATAGAAAACAACCTGAGCTACAAGAAATTTAGTGTAGGAGGGAGAAGTAAAATACGCTTTAAGAAGACTCAACTCAAAGCAGACTTACGTGTTTCTCCGGAAATCTTTCATTAAAGTTGAATGTTCTGGCATCTTTTTTATGTCTTCCCAATCTTTATCTGCAAAATCAATATTTATTAATATTTACTTTTTCTCCAAGTTAAACAAAGGCTTTCCAAGTATCTCTGTAATCCTGATTTTTTTTTTTTTTAGTCTGCTTCTCTAACCTTGCAGTTACTTATTTCTTTGCACTCCCTGGCTCACATTCTTTCATCACCTCTTCACGATAAATCTTACCAACACCTAAGGGGTTCCAGTTGTTTGCTGGTTAACTCAAGAACTTTAAAAAGCGGCTGCCAGCTACAGTGAAGATCACCATATGCCCAAAAGACAAAACAGAAGAAAAAAACATGTCAGTCGTTGTGGTTGCACCATTCAGGACTACTATTCAATTTATTGAGGCACAGTCATGATCTCGGGACAGGAGTACAGAAGACTCCCGCAAACGCTGTCTCCTTCTAAGGGGTTTTCCATTCTGACAGCACTGTCTTACTCACAGGCAAAAGCCCAGGAGTACTGTATAAATTGCTGCTGTCCCAACCTAAAAGAAATACTGTTAGCCAGCAACAGGTTAAGGAAAAGTAACATTTGCACACTCAAACTAAAGAATATTTCACCTCAACTTCTCTGTTTAGACAAAGCCTGAAATGAATTTAAAAATAAAACAAATAAACTCACTACCAGCATCTAGCCTCAAATGTATTACACTCTGTAACTGCTGAAGGGGCTCTTGTGGGCAAATAGTTTGATTCAAGTCTAATCTTTACTAAATCTTATCACAATTGCAGAACACTAGGCACTTAAAAATATTAAGTGAATAAATAAATCAGAGATTAATTATTTAAATAAGAGATTCTCCTCTTTTCCTATCCCCAAGACATGTGAAACTCTTTCAAATATGGCAAGTGTCAATTAAAAAGCAAAAAATTTGCTGCAATTAAATAAAAATAGTATTTCTTGGTAAGAACCAAAGACCTTAAAAAAAAAAAATCAAATGCAGACCATCAGAAAGGATTATTTAAACCAATCAGAGCACAATAATGAGAGTATCATCTAGTTATCCAAGTTACACAAAGGCAACGTAAAACCCAAATGAAGTAAGAAAAGTGTAAGAAAAGGATAAAATTCTAGGCTAAAAGTAGAGAAGGACAGTACTGCTTAAAGGAGTAAAATGAAGGGAGGGATTTTCAAGAAAATAAAAGTACTCAATATGCAAAGGCAACACTGCCAGGAGTCTCATACAGCAGTATAGAAGTAGTGAAGTACATACAAGGCAAAAAAGTCAAAAAGAAAAACAAGAGTGAATTTAGTACAAAATTCTGGAACCACCCAAACATAAAGACCACAAAATTCATGTGATAGGAAGAAGAAAGTCCACCAGAACAGCAAAGAACAAGATTAATAGTGAATGGACAACAGCAGGGAACACAAGCAGTGAGGAGAAAGATGACCCAAAAGTAAAAATAAGGCCCCCTGTTATTCTGACATCTACGATCATGGGAACACTAGAAGAGGAAGCATTAACTGAAAAGATGCAAGACAGCCTGTAGAAAAAACAAGATATGACCAACACTATGGGGAAAATGCAATAAGTGATATCCACATCGTAATTTCTTTTGGTTCATGCAACCAGTTATTTGATCTGGTTTGGAATAAAGAAATTTTCTCCATACCACAAGCTTTCTGCCAAGGAAAAAAAATTAAATGCCCTCCCTTAATTCCAAACACTATGTTTAATTTAGCATGAGTTAAACATCTGCATAATATTCATTAAATGTATAGATTTTTGCTTGGTTTCATACAATCATCAGTCACTTTCCAATTCTATAATCAGTACTGAAGAAACGCAGAAATATTCCGTCTGATTTTTAATCGTCCACTATTAAACATGATCTTTTAAAATTATAAAACATTGGTACATGCATAAACAAAGAAAATCTTATCTTTAGTAACAGCAAAAATATCTAATATGACCACTAGATTCTAGATTTATAACTCGTGAAATAAAGATTGTGTTTGAACAGGTTTGTTGCTTTGATCAGCTGCCACCTTCATATGCAAAGAAAGTAATACAGATAACTTTGAACAGTAGTGATAACAAAAAATACAGTATGTACCTGCAGGAAATCCCATTACATTGAATATTCTGTCCAGCTGGTCATGGTGATAAGGATTACTAGTTTTGATATCTTCTTGTCGACAATGGAATATTGGCTCTGATGTTAGCAGCTCTGCAAATATACACCCTATGGCCCAAATATCTTTAAAAAAGGAGAACAGAAATTAAAAAAAAACAAATTAATCTTTCCAAAAGCATCTTGGTGAGGTACAGTGTTAGTTTTTAGCTTATCAGCGATAAGGTCCCTGCACTGAAAATTTCAAGTTTCTATTACAGCAGTGCAACACTTCCTCAACTTTCCCTTTCATCCACAGAGGTATATAATTCAGTAACTACACAGGGGCTGAGAGAGTAACATACAATTTTTGGTGGGTTTTTTTACAGTGTGGTTACCATTTATTGCTGTACAAAATAATCTGATTAAGAAAAAATACAAAAACAAACTATTTGGGTAACGTTCATGCATAAAATACAAATGAAGAAAAGCCAACCGATATCTTACCCATTCACTGCCTTACTGCCCCCGCCAAGAAATGTGCTCTCTCTGATCAGCCACTGGGTTTAATAAGTATTAAATGGCCCCAAAAATACAAGTTAAAAAGCAGTGATACTGGAATAAGCCAAATGCTATATATAAATAAATGCTATGTATAAAACCTTGCGGAAAGAGAGTAACAAGAAAAATCGCTCCATGCTCATGTACCTCACCCCTTTTTTTATAAGGTTCTTTAAAAAAAAACAAAACCAAGCCTTTCTGTTTTAACTGTTGTGTCCCAATCTGCAAAATCAGACAGCCTGAATTTTCCCAGTTGTTTTCTCAATTTTTTTCTAGTATGTACAAATCCAATTTTTAACTGACAAAGTAATGCTACAACTGCACCTTGAATGAACAAGAAAAGGTCATGAACAAGGACAAAAGCAAATGATGCAGAGCGCATAACCCCATTACTTAGTGTTTTTATACAGTCAGTTTTATCTATGCTGAAAAAAATTACGTACTAAAAGCTATGGAACTGCATGGACAGTCATATACTACAAGCAGAAGACAATGCCAGTAAAGTGAAGAAACATGCAAATACAACAAAAAAGCCATTTAAAGGAACATATAAAGACCTGTATTTAATCTATAAAAGAAATCTAGTATTAACAAAAAAGTAAATGAAAACACATTTAAGGCATAAACATTACCATTTCTGACAAAAACACTGACGCAATCGTGAAAAAAATAATGGCTAAGGTCTAAGGAAAGAATTTCAGGTTATGGAAACAACAACATATATGCTGACACCCAACTTCCATGTTTGTGCAAAGTAAGTGGAGCGTTGCAGGGGAAGTTATTTCCCCAAAAATGGTTGCCAGGCTTTAACGTCTGTTTTAATCCAGACAGCAAGAGAAAAACTTCCCAGGCCTCTTCCCTACAGTCTACCTCCCTTCCCCAGCAAAGCTGTTCGCATCCACTAAAGGAGAACTTCCCTCCAGCCCGCTACCGAGCTATTCCTCAACAGCCACAGCACCCACCAACGGCTCCTGCCGTCGGCGATCCCTTACCCCTGGAATGGCAAGGGCAGAGACTGGCAGAGCGAAGTCAACCGTGCCATGCCAAAGCTGTTCAAACTCAGACCGGTAAGTATGAAATAAGTGGTGAAGAGGATGCGGCATTAAGCTGGTGTAACTAATGCCATCCTCACCGCGCCTGCATTCTGTAAGGTTTGTTTTTTTCTGGATATGCCTTGATGCAGCACCACAGTCTAGCCCATTGCATGACTTTGACCACATCTCATTACCTCAAGCACTTGTGCTTTGAAAAAGACCTAGAGAGGGGCTAAAATGCAGAGCTTACTCTTATAGTTTCAGTGCAGCCAACATATTCTCCATTCTGTACGTTCCTTATTTCATGTATTTATTACACCAGGTAAAAACCTCTGCAATAAAATTAATGCACTGTGCATCATCATAATATGGATTCTACTAATAGTTCAAAAACGCATCCATATTTCGTATTGCCTCTAACTCTTGTATGAAAGCCATACAAACATATTGCATCACAGGGCATTTGGAGCCTAAACCCAGAAGTATTTCATTCCTACACCTAGCCAGAGACCACAGTAAACTAAATAATTTGTCAAAGAGTAATATTTCTTCACGAAATTGATAACGTACCTTTAACTCAGCTACTGTCCTTTGTACTATTTAATCAATGCATCAATACTTGGGTACGCTTTACATAAAGAACAACATAGTAAGTTTTTGTACAATTTACTTACCAATAGCTTTGGTATAATGCCTTGCTCCAAGAAGCAACTCTGGAGCTCGATACCAGAACGTTACAACTACTGGATCCAAGTCTGCTAAAGGCTTCAGAGGTGAATTAAATAATCGGGCAAAGCCCATGTCAGCTGCAAAATTCAAAAAGAGATGCTTTAAAATTTGAGGAAAACTACCAGTTTTGTTTTGTTTTGTTTTTTTTTAAACAAGCTGATTGAGTTTACTTGTTAGCGCTACCGTCACTGCTAAACAAAACGCAAACACAGACTGTAGCAGATATGAATTCTGTGAGCAGATTTTCTTAAAGCTTTTGTAGAAGTTACTGGATGTCATCACCTACAAAGTATATCATTATAAATCATTACTAACATGAGCCATTTAGAACAAAGAATTAACCACTGTTCTGAAAAAGCGCATCAACTCACTTCTCAGGACACTGGTAAATCCTGATTCATTTTACCTGATATTCTCCGGTAAAATATTCTATTATTACAGAATGGTCTTTCAAGAAGCAGCATTTTAAATGTGAGCAAAATGCAGGTCTGCAAAGGTTAGAATGATTTATAATACATACGTGCACATCACAAAAGCTCCCTCCTCATGACGTTAGCTGTAGCAAGATTTCCTTCACACAAAACCAGCAACTAAGCCCACAGCACCTGCCTCCCTGCTAATTTTCTGTCAGGATGTACTTCCAGTATCAAGATACCAGTACTAAACACCATTTAGGCTATAATTTTAGAATTCTGTTTGGGGGCATTATATCATTAAAAACCACTTTTTAGAATTGGTAGTATACAACTGCCTAGAAAGCTGCCTGAACTACCAAATATAAGTGATACAGAAAAAAATGGGCAGAGACTAAAATATGCACCTTCTCCCACCAAACTGCTTTCCCAACCCACCACTCCCCAAATCCCAAGACAGAGGGACTCTGTGGTGCAGGGATACAGACATCCTGAGAAAGACTCGACTAAAATGAGATGAAATTCTGAGGGAAAAGGACGTAGTGCTATAACTCACTGGTTGAGGGAAAACTCCAGTGTAAATATGGGTCTCTAACTTGACTACACAATCCTTAATATTTTATTTCATATGCATTCCTATTTATGATTGTTTTAATGCATTTAAAAACAGAAACAGTTTTCTACATTAAAATATTGATTACTCAAGATCTGGTCAAGTCACTAGTAACTATGAAAAGTAAGGAATTGTGGCAGAAAGTGAATTTATGACTCAAAATGACACAAAAAGCCTATAAAATTTATTTTAAGTTAAATCATTTATGTATTTTTTAGAAAAATTAGTTACACTGGAAAAATGGAAGCCCTTGGTATGGGTATAACTTCTGCATTCTTTTCCTGATGTGGTAATATCTTAAGAAAGTAAGAAAAAAAAAAAAAAATCTACATTTTGATAACACGCTTGAAAACCTAGGGTCCCCCTCCCTCTTCCCCCACTGGGAATGGATGGCTCAGAGGACTGGTGGTCCGATACAGAATCTTTCACCTGTCCGTTAAGAGAGTCTGACTGAATTTAGTTGCGTTCTAAATTGTTCCCAAATTAATTCAAAACTATAAATTAAGAAATAAATGGGTGGTCTATGTGTAATTACTAGCAAGTAATTGTGTACAGCAAATGTCACCACCATGGTTGAAAGTGAACGTGCCCAGAGGATGACCTACATTCTCAATTTTGGAAGCAACCGCTCCGTGAAGAGTAAGGTAATAGGAAGAAATTTTCCCTTCTGCTGTCCATGCTGTACCTGTTTTGTACAGAGACGACCTCAATTTCTACTGTCAACCTTAAACCTCGGAAGGGCATTAAAAACTTTCAGGATAGGATCTGCAGAAGTGTTCAGTCCTGGCCCACCTGCTCCTTGGATTTCAAAGGGCGAGGGAAGGACTAGAGCAGCACTCCAAGAAAATCCTACCCTGAATCATTATACTGGTGATTAACAATATAGTTCAGATAAAGAAAACAGTACGAGTACAGAGCAACAATGCAGAAGAATAATCTCATAAAAGAAAGCCAGAGGGAAGTGAAAAAAGATGAACTAGCTTTAAAAAAACCCTTCCAAACGGGGCTGCATTACCATAGCAAATATAAGTAGGCTGTGCATTAGCAGTCTGCTATCAAAGCGCTGCCACGCTAATGCACAGCCTGGTATAGCTTCTTACTGTTAGACTACAATTAATTTTTATTTATTTATTTACTTTAATTTAAAACAATTGAAGTTCTAGAGATTATCCTCTCACTGTGAACAGTAACTCCCACCAGAAAATGTTACAATAAGGGGAAAATTGTTGGGTCCTTCCTACCCTGGTACACCGCAGTTTGAGCGTTTAGCAGTAGTTCTCACTAAGAATTTTGCTTAGATTACTCTGTTTTCTGGACTTTTAAGATCCCTTGTTTTTATCTCCAAGGGTCCTGTCTACCCTTTCAAGTACATTTTGTAGGCAAAATGCCACCTTTGATTCCATTATAAAATTTAAGGTTTGTAGTAACGAGTAGTTCCCTATTTAGATTTTATAAGCAGCGGCAAGACAATGTCAAGGCATTACAGGGGTAAATGGAGGAAATTTTAAAATCCCATTTCTTTCTCCTCCTTTCCCCCTAGCTAGCTGTCATCTTTATCCCCATACCAAAATCCCCCACCCCACACAATCACCCGCTTAAACAAAATATAACGACATTTTCCATGTTTTATTGATGAGGCTACAGCATTTCATCATCAGAACTGGTGCATGGGGCTAATATCAAGAAGCCAGTCACTCAGAAAACAGCATTATATGCCCAGGCACATACTAGTATTACAGTGACTACTTTAGGTGGTACAACTGCACCTTCAGAACATTCTAACTTAAATGCTACACTGGGACTTATCAAAGATATAAACATACCAATTTTTACTCTTCCTCGCTCAGGACCTTCACCCATAACTAAAATATTAGCAGGTTTCTGTGGAAAAAAAAATAAATATACAATACATATACCACGATAAACCTAAACATTAGTCTCTGAAAAGTTAGTTAAGCTTTGTTTTGCCAGTTTTAAACCAACTTTGTTTTGATTAAAATGACAAGTTTCTCTGTCATGGTAAAGCTGTGCAAGGACCCAGACACAGGCTCTCCCTGACTGCATTTTCCTCATGGTTTTTTTTGGCGCTTCTGTGCTCCAGCACCATGTTCCCTAACTGACACCCCGGTGTCTGTCCTCAACACGCAGGAGCTGGCAGTCACCGAGCTGCCGAGGTTTCTACCAAAATTGCCCTAGATCCTTTTGGCAGGCGGCAGTCCTGTTGTTGCCCAGCACAGGGACAGGAAGCCAACTCTACAACATGATATGCTCAGGGTCATTAGGCACATTTGCAGACACATTTTACATTAAAAAAATAAAAATCTGAGTAAGATACAGACTACACATAACTATATCACTCTATATTGGAGAGAAAAATCATCTATTTAATAATAAAATTATTCCTACTTACAAATGTATACCAATTCAGACAGTTGCAAAACTTGAAAGCATTGCCTTTACATTATTTTTCTCTCCTTCTTCCCTTTCCTTCTTTTACTAGAGAGGTGAGTTAAAGAATTGAGCTAGAGTTCAACTAGTTAGAAACATAACCACTCACTTCTTAATCCTATATTTTCTGCCGTCCTGTTTCTCATAATACAGTCTTGGCATCTGCAGTCAGAAGAGTCCTCAAATGCTAACACTGTACATATAAATCAAACCTGCAGTGCTTATTTTGAGGGAAAAAAGTCATGAAACTCACAAGTAAAGCTGAAAATTTATGCTAGATTTGATTTGAAATTGAGTGATTTAGATACCCAGTCATACTGTAAATCCTGGACAAAACAGGGGCTCGTATTCAGTTGTGAACTGTAAGAATTATAATAAGGCTGAGTTACAGCTCTTGCTTTGCTTCCCCAGTTTAAACTGATCTGAAGAAAAAAGTGCCCTAGCAAGACAGTTTAGGCTACCTAAAAGTTAATATAATGAATCCAATATCTTAGTGTGATTTACCAAACACGTATTCTAGGAAACTCTTAAGTCTTCCTGAATATATCAGGCGCTGGTGTAAACACATTCAGAGAGACAAAAGACCACAATTTGATATCAAACTAGTAGTAATTCATATTGTGTAAAACAAGGTGCAAAAATTAATAATCCAGCAAAAAATTTCCTTGAGAAACTTAATTACTACTGCTTATGAAAGGCTCCAAAATGGATTTCTGAAACTGTACAATCCACGTACAAAATACGTAAAAGGAATTTGAGGTGTTGCCTCTCTTCTCTGAGAGAAGGTTAAAGATGGAAGAAAATGTTACAGCTTGACTATGTTCACAGAGGTAACATATATTCCATTATCCTTCCAACAGCAATAACAACAGATCCAACTCATGCTGCATTAGCTCAGTGATATGCAGAAGAACTTGTGTCCCACACCACCCCCCCCCTTTTTTTTGTCTGTTTTTGTGGGGTTTTTTAAATAAATGCATACCCTCCAGGTAAGTGTTGCTTCAACATTAAAAAAATGCAGCATGTGGGCACAGAGCTCACAAAGCATTCAATTTTGATTGTTTCTAGAAAAGTGCTAGAAATAAACAAGCAGAATAAATCTTTAAATGCAGGCTTAATGTTGAAGTTTAAATCAATTAAAAGTGCTAGGTAAGAAAACACATAATTTCACCGCATAAACCATTCTATTGGGTTTTCAATTTTTCATTCATTCTCAAAGAGAAACTATACATATCTTTTACAAAAGTTGCTTCAATATATCTGGGATGTTAATAAGCTACATGCCTAATTAATTTTTTTTAGTAGAGTTAATGATACATTACACAGGCACTAAAATTTTTCAGATAAATAATACATTGACCTAAAGCATAATTCCGCCCCCAGCATTTTCACAGGTTGATAATACTCTACAAAAATTCTTGTAACATCCTCATGATGTTTTTACCTTAAAATATTTTACTATTTGGATTTTGACAGGGACAAGGAGCCATATTCACACAAAGACTCCATTACGCCAGATGATTAATCAGCACAGCACTGGGTAACAACTCCTGCCTCAAAGATCTTCTACCCTAAGTTGAAGGTAGGTACAGATGTGAAGAGAAAGCACAAAGAGATGAGACAGTACTGGTTAGCAAAATAAGTAGCAACAGCTTGATTCACACTCAGATTTCTTTCCTTTCCTTTCAGAATTTACAGAAAACATTTAAAAATACAGACGATTTAGAAACCCGTGTAGGAGTCTTCTAAAGCCACAAAATAAATTAAAAAAAAAAAAACACCTCAGTTGATCTGGAATAACCATTCACAGCAGTTCACTGCTTTCTACAGTCAAAGACCCTTCACTGAGCTGCTTGAAACAGAAGATTCTTACTACAGGCAACAATATTTATAGTGTCACATCATTGTAAAGAGATACAACATCACAGTTAAAGATTAAAAAAACCAAAAAATTAAAATCAGAGGTCTTATTCTGAAGGTTCCCATTCCTAAAATCATTGCATTATTAGCCTGGAACAACATCGTTAGTTGAAAGAATTTTCCAAACACGACCATTAATCAATATTTAAATTCAACAGGGCAGTATCTATCAGAAAATTGTATAGGGACAATATTGGTACTCCTAAAACATACATATTTTAGGGACTCCCTGAAAAACATCCAAGGACACTAACAAAAGTCAAATTGTGGGTCAGGGATTCCTGTTAGACATCTTTGACTCATGTCCACCATCTGGAGAGAAAAAAAATTACTCCCCAGATTTGTCTCTTTGCAAATACATTTCTAATATGTAATGAGTTGCCCAAAGAAAAATAAGCAGTCATGAGAAACAGAAGGAAGAAATCTGGATGAATTTCAGTTTAATTTGTTACATTTCAGTTTAATTTTAATTTGCCAAAGAAAATGAAAGATTAAAGTGCTTATTCAAATCATTAGGGCTGACGAAGTAAGAAAATCTTTCATCAATTTTTATATTGTGTTCTGAAAATACATTACTTTAAAACAGGTATCATTTTTTTATAACTACAAATTATCAACTTTGCGTCACCCATTTTTGTTCTAAAAGAGACATATTTACTTTTGCCTTCAAGTAAAATAATTTGCTCACGCCAGACAAACGTAAGTGAGAAAGCTGTTGTGATCCTAAACCAAATGTGAAGAGCCATGCAGCAATGTACAGGTGAGTATTTCAAAGACCAACAAACAACTTTCTGACAAGCCCACAGAACAAAATTTAAGAAAAAAAAAAAAAAAATCACCCTTCCCCCCCCACAACACCCCACCTCAGCAGCAGGGGAATAAGTCATTCTTGTGGAAGAATGGCGTTGTGACCATGGCACAGCACTAAATCTTATCTTGTTCTAGATCTGGCTTTGTAGGACTCCTTGTGTGATTCCGAGACAAATCCTACTCTTGCGCATGCAATCACGGTTACTACTGAAAAGCGAACAAAGATCCTCACTGAAATATTTTTGGTGCTTCTAATTTAGTCATTATTTGCGAAGTGCAAACGGAAATCCTAAGCAGCAGGCTAATTTCAAATAAAGGAGCTAAAAAAACCCAGGCTACACCAACACAGGTTCATAGATCTACATCGAACTTCAGGCACTGACCTTCATCCATCTGCCTGACCTGACACATGGTACCATGCTCTGTTCACCGATTCTAAAGTCCCTGATGATGAAGGCTACACAACTCCCAGGCAATCTTTTCTCTTCCACTCTATTGCGGCGTTTTTCCTTCGCTTCTAACGCAACGAATGAGAATACTCCTGTTGCCTCTTCTCTTACACATCAGCAGAAAGATTAGCCAACCACTCCTTCACTGCAAGGACTAGTCTTAGAGTTCTGAAGATCTGCAGCTCTGTTCAGTCCTATCACTTAGATTAAAAGAACCCTCTCCTGCTCAGTGGCTCCTAGTGGGTTATTTTTTCTCAATGTATGATCATTCTTGTTGCTTCCCTCTAGCTGTTCTGCCTTGGGCCACCTCTTTATTTGAACTCGAGTGCTCCAAATTAAACACTGCTCCTGCTGAGGCTCCACGAAGGCTAAATACAGCAGAGGGATTGTTTTGCATGTCTTATACAGCATCTTCCACTTTATACAGTCCCAGTATGGTATTTTGTTTTGCCTGTGTAAGGCTATTGATTCATGTTAAGGTTACGAGCCATGCGTTTTCTTCACATCTTTTCTGCAGGACTGCTACTTATTTTTCCTCTTTTTTAAACCACTGTCCCATTTGAACAAACACTGCAGTCACATACTGCTTCTTAACATATGCTGAAAGTTTTTGTGTTCATTCAGAGGGGAAACTCAGACTTTAGAACTTATTTGGTTTTCTATTTTGAAGATAAAAATGCAAGCAACAGGAAAATGACACCTATCTACATCTTGATGAGATGTGATCATATGAAAAAAAAAAAAAGATACCATTCCTGTTGCTCACAGCAAGTTGTTCACAGAAGCAGGGGACGGTTATTCTATGTCCACATACTAGAAGCCTGGAAATCACAGGACATATTCTTATGCTCCAGGAAATATATTCTGCAGTTGGGTCCTCCTTCCACCAAGTTTTACTCATCAAAGCAGTGAGGAAAAAACCCTGGCATTATTGAACAGCTTAGCCATTGTGACCTTGGATACTTATTACTTTTAGCATCCAACGAGGTTTGTAGTAACTATCACTCCACAAATTTTTTGCTACTAGGCTGTTTCTGAACTCATTACTTTTCAAAGGCTTATTTTAAACATACCTCTCAATGAGTAACCAAAATCCCTTTGAATTATCTATGCTATTGTAATGTAGATGCTACCTCCCCCCCGCATTAACTGTTTGCAGTAGTCCCATGTATATTTATGAACAGATTCACCCTCTTTATTCCTCCATTTCAATGCACCTTTCAATAAGGTTTTAGTATCATCCTAATTAATTTC